AGGTGACTGAAAACTGGGCTCACACTGCTGTGATCAGCAGCACCAAGCCCCTCTGGGGGCCAGTTGCTAGTGGCGTGCTGGGCTGCATGAGGCAGAATGCTGCTGGCGGGTCAAGCGGGGTGATCATTCCCCTCTGCCCCGCACCAGAGAATCCTCTTCTGGAGTGCTGGGTCCAGCTGTGGGCAGACATGGACAAACTGGAGCAAGTCCAGCAACGGGCCATGGAGACGGTTGTTATCTGACCATGAGGGAGTGTTATTTGAGGAAAGGCTGGGCAGGCTGGGACTGTTCATCCTGGAGGCTCAAGGGGGATCTTATCACTGGGTATGAATACCTGCTGCCTGCAGTATGGCTGGGGCAGCCTCTGGGCTTTGCGTGGTGCTGTGGAACACAGGCAACGCTGCCTGCAAAAATGGAAAATCCAAACAAAATGTCAGCGAAGAACATGTGTATCAGGACAACACAGAGGAGCTCCAAGGGGATTCCAAAAACAGACCACGTGAACCAGAAGAACCAGCTGATGGGCCTGTGAATCAGAAATTACACTTTAAGTTTCACAGGGGGTGGCTGATGGGGAGATGTCCCTCTGCGCACTGCTGGGGGGGAACTTACAGCTACCTGTGGGACTGTTACAGGGTGCAGGCTGGGGAGACGTGTGTTTTCTTATCCTCGGGTCAATGTCCTTGTACAAAGTTTTTGTGTGCATGTGTTAAATCAATTGTCCAGCGTTTCATTTCTGGTATGTGTAGTAGCAATCTGTCAGTAGACATGTCTATGCCACTTCTTCTGAGGAAAGCTATTTACTCTGCCCTTGGGGAGGTGGAAAGCTTTGGGGGTATAAAGCCACTTTTGGAAGCTGCTTAAAGGTTAATTGCTGGTCAGAACAAAAGCCTAGTGGCTACCTGATTTACAAACCAGGACACTGACAGCTTACACAAGGTGGCAAGAATGTCCTTTAAAAGAAAGGAGGTGATTGTGGCAGGGGGGGATGCACCATGGAAGGCAGACTTGGTGAATATGCAACAGTTCTCCAAACACAATGTGACATTAAGTATATATTAACAGTGACTCAATATACAGATGTTTATCTCACACCTAGCTGCACAGCTGTCTGAAAACAGGCTCTACCATGTCACTTCAGTTATTGCAAGGAGTCTCACCTGGCCTGGAGCTGCTGCTCCAGAGCAGCGCAGGCCTGACACCAGGGCTGTGCTGCACCTCTCTGCTCTACCGACGTATCTCAGACTCTCCAGGAACTCCCAAGCAATGCTGGATGTTTGTCTGTAGGTAACTGAATGTTCTCTGTAGAGAACAATTCAAGTGCTTAAAGTTAAATGTCTAGTAATATTTTAGATATCCTAGGGTATCCTGCCTGTCCCAAGATGCCACTTCACCCACCTCCCACAGATCCTGTGTCATACATGCCAGCTCATGTGGGCATCTCAGGTCTTCTGGGACACCTAAAATGGTTCTATGTATGTATATTTAGGTATTTTAATTGCCTTCCTACATTTAGACTGTTACGTTTAGTCATATGCCATCTGGTATTGAAAGACACTGTGAGAGATTCAACTCTGAGCTCTTGCGGCTGCAGTTCATCTGAACCACTCTAGACCTCTGTGTCAGGGTGGCATGAACCCACACCTAGAAATGCTGGGTTCCTTTTGTATGTCAACATGAGAGATGACCCTTTATTTTGACAACTGGAGCATTTCATCTCCCAAGTTATAATTATATGAATGAACGCTGAATTGCTTATTGCAGCATACATATCTTTAGAAAGACATAAAAGCACAATGAGAACAGAATTGCCCTGTAGGAAATAACGGAAACACAGCAACACCTCATAGGAAGGGAAGATTAACTGCTTTTAAAATAGATTGATTTCAGTCTGTCACACGCACCCTGTGGTAGCCACAAACACCAGTATGCTGTCCAGGATTGCCTGTAATGACACGGGGGACGAGGGGCATGTGGTCACTCCCTATGAGCATGGAGAGTTCCACTGAAGTCTGACCCTCGACTGAATGGCATTGCTTTTGTGTTGGAGGACAAAAACCATCTAGTGGAACGGCATAAACAAATTTATTTGATGTCTTTTACCATTGTATTATGAAAATAGTGTAACCTGAAGTGTACAGTAACACATTAGGATTTCACAAATTGCATAATTTGGCTTTTATTTTATTCTGTCCAACCTTTTGAAAAACCAGACGAACAACTGCCTTTCATTCAGCATGATGGCAGAGACAATGACCTTTCTCAGGCAACAACTAAGCTGCTACAACTTGATCAAGACCTTCCAAGACAGAAAACAAAATCCGAATTATGTCAATCTCTTCAGACAGAAAAGTGGGACAAAATCTCTCACAAGGCAAATTCTGTGAGGAATCTCACCAAATCAGTGATACATGTGGAACAACATGAAAGTGGGTCCTGCTGTACTGTAGGTAGACAATGAATCACTTACTTCACAATTAAATGGCATAACTTCAGTGGGATATTAATTTTCACGTCAGACTTACCTTTAAAATGCTCATTTCCTAACTGCATGTTATAGAATATTAACTCATAAATGACTAATTTATTTTCCTGTGTAACATGCCATGGTATGAACAAGTTACTATGGGTGTCAAAGATTATAGATTTGTTTCCCTGATGATATCTATGGATCTCTTAAATGTTGTTGTTTGTCAATATTTGTTAGGTAAAACACTGCTTGAATTTTCTTTACAGAAGAGTACATTTCTGGTGTGGTAAAATAAGTAATATATATGAATGTAAAGAATAAACCAAATACAACATATAAAAATGTAGGAAAATTTTCTATTGTTCAGTAATTTGAACAGCATATGCCTCTGTGAGATTTTTAATTATGCTTCTACATAAACAATGCTGTTAATATTGTTATATCCCTGTAAGTAAATTGGGTACTCAGTTTTCATTATGCTTCACAGAAACTGCCTAGGTTGCTTTAAAAACCTCTGCCTGTATTTGCAGAAAAGTACATGTTCTAATTATACTGATAGTTTCACATGTTGAGAGGAATTTCTCAGCTGTTTCATGCATTTGTGGCTGAACTGGGGTTTGGCTTTTTTGATGTAGAAGTGGAAGGCATGTCTGAGCTCAAATCCTGTCATGGTAGGATGTCTCTTTATTTGAAACAATATGAGTACAGGAATTCATTCTTCTGACAACCTCTGTTCTGCCCAAGGAGATGTTAAATCACAATGAAGAGAGGCTTGCCTAGAAAAAAAATAATGATAATCCATGTTTTACAGTAATTCAAATTCAAAGCCACCAGTGTATGCATCTTAAAGGAAAATATAATTAGATGTATACAAATTAAAGCTGCCTTGGCCTTAATTTTCTAATTTGTTAGAAAAGCAAAATTGAGAAATAAGTAAATTTGACCCTTTGTTATGTTCTACAGTATTTTAAGGAAAATAACTTATTTTCTACCTATAAATGTTCTTTTTACCTTAAGCCTCACTGCATAATCATTTTGTTTTGGATTTGTTTTTCTTCAACTAAAGCATTACCTCCTTTTATATTTTCCGAAACAAATGTCCAATACTTCCTTCATCTGCTTCTACTCTTGCTTTGTTATTTGTAATACTACAAGCCTTGAGAAGCTCTGTGACCTCAGCGTGCCCTGGAAGGCGTTCAGCAGTATCATATACACAAATTAGATACAGTGTCTGACTGACATGTACGTGGATCATCAGCCACGGTGAATGAAGCCTTGCTAAAACAAGTATTCCCGACCCTTCCACGGGCGAAGTTAACATGGAGTGGTAATGAAGTGTGGAAGTTATGTGGGCATGAGCAAAACCTGGAGGGAATCCGAGTGAAACCCAGAGTCAATCCGCACTGCACTGTGAAGTGCATACCGCCACCCCAGCTTCCAGCCAGTAGTAGGATGCAGACGTGTACTGGGAAAAAAAAAAAAAAAAAAAAAAAAAAAAAAATCATTTGTAGGAATCCATGTGACAGCACAGGCTCCGTCAGTATTCCTTCGAATGTATTCCCATGCTTCTACCACAGCAGGTGGTACTCGAGACCCACAGGAGCCCGAGCACGCCGAGTGCTCATTCACTTGAGGCACCCGACCGCTTCACCGCGGCTGCCACACCGGCTCCGCCCGCTTCCCCCGGCGGGGAGCTCGCTGCCGCCTGCGCCCGGGGCTCCCGGGGCTCCCGGGGCTCCCGGGGCTCCCCGCTTCCCCGGGGGAGGAGCCCCCCCGCGCCTTCCCCCCGCCGGGTGCCGGCCGGGGCCAGCTTCGAGCTGCGATTCTGTGGGGAAGCAAACTCTCCTACCCCTGCTCCGCGCGAGCCCTGCGCTGGACGCTCTGCTTGCGCTCCTGCTACCGAGCCCAATATTTAAGACCACAGCCACGTACTAAAAGCAGCGTGCGGCCGCGCCGGGGGGGGGGGGGGGCGCAACCCCCAGGGCGTGCAGGCCCGCCCGTCTCCGTGAAGCCGAGAGCGCCGCGGGTCGGGGCAGCCCGCGAACCGCAATTCTTCGCGGCCGTGCCCCCCCCCGGGCTCGTTACCGCGGCGGGGGGGGTGGGCGGGTGTGTGTAGGGGGGGGTGGGCGGGTGTCCACCCCGGCGCCCCTCACCGCGGCCGCCCCGCCGCTGAGGCGAGGGCCCCGGGGGCGGGGGGCCGCCCCAGGTGAGCGGCGGCGCTGCCCGCGCCTGGCCGGCAGGTGGCGCCGCCCGGCTCCCGCGGGGCGGGGCGGGGGCGGGGAGCGGCCGCGGCAGCCCGGCGCCGGCCGTCAGCGCCGCCCTTCGCGCGGGGTGGCGGCGGCGGCGGCGGCTGCGGACGGCAGAGCCCTCCCGCGCCATGGAGCCGCAGGCACAGGGTGAGTCTCGTTGGGACAGAGCCCTCCGGCCCCCCCCCCTACCACCCCCCACCGTCCTTTCCGCCGCCGGGGGATGCCGCTCCCCGCCTCAGCGAGGGCCGAGCCCGCGCGGGGACGGCGGTGGCGGTGCCTCCGCGGCGCCCAGAGCCGGAGGGCGAGGGGCGGCCCGGGGCACCGCCCGCCTCTCCGGCCAGGGGAGCGCGGTGGGGAGGGACCCGGGAGGGGCTCCCCGGCACCCCCGCACCCCCGCTGGCGGTGGCGGCCCCGGGCTCTGCCGGGGAGCGCAGGCCGGCCCGCGGAGCGCCCTCGCCCTGACCCCCCGTCCCGACCTGGGCTCCTTTCGGCTGTCCTTATTTCGCCGCCTGGTTGGGATGGTGGCGTCATTTTTCTCCTTCTGCCTGTTTTAAACGTTTCACGGTCGAGCAGCCCGCATGGCAACTTCGCGTTGAGTTAATCTCGGTAAGGGTCTGGGGCTCTTGTGGGTTTAAGTGGTTCTGTGGGCGCTGCCCGGGAGCGGCGTCCCCTCAGGCTCCCGTCCCCTCAGGCTCCCGTCCCCTCAGGCTCCCGTCCCCTCAGGCTCCCGTCCCCCGTCCCCTCAGGCTCCCGTCCCCCGTCCCCTCAGGCTCCCGTCCCCCGTCCCCTCAGGCTCCCGTCCCCTCAGGCTCCCGTCCCCCGTCCCCTCAGGCTCCCGTCCCCCGTCCCCTCAGGCTCCCGTCCCCCGTCCCCTCAGGCTCCCATCCCCCGTCCCCTCAGGCTCCCGTCCCCCGTCCCCTCAGGCTCCAGTCCCCCGTCCCCTCAGGCTCCAGTCCCCCGTCCCCTCAGGCTCCAGTCCCCCGTCCCCTCAGGCTCCAGTCCCCCGTCCCCTCAGGCTCCAGTCCCCCGTCCCCTCAGGCTCCAGTCCCCCGTCCCCTCAGGCTCCAGTCCCCCGTCCCCTCAGGCTCCAGTCCCCCGTCCCCTCAGGCTCCCGTCCCCTCAGGCTCCCGTCCCCTCAGGCTCCCGTCCCCCCAGGCTCCCGTCCCCCGTCCCCTCCGTGCTCTCGGGGGGAAGGCAGGACGGTGCCGGCCCGGGCCGAGGTCGCAGCCCTCCTCTTGGGGAGGCAGCCGCCCGGCGAGAGAGGCGCCTCCAGCATCAGGGACCCTCCGACTGGGCTTCCAGCAGAGCTCTCCGCCGAGACCAGCTTCGGTTTGCATGTGCGAAAGCATTTCTGCGGTTTTGCAAAGGCGGCTTTCGTTAATTTAAAGTGAACATTTCCTATCGCAACAGTTAGCTATTAAGTTAGCTATTTCTCTCTCTCTCTGGGTAAAGTTAATTGGCCTCCAATGGATGGAAGAAACTTTTCATGCAAGGTTTAGATGATGTTTGGGTCAACCTAAGGTATTTGGCATAGACAGATCTTGCTCACCTTTATGGTTTTGCTTCTAGTTTTCTGAAGAACCTTATGACTTTGCCATGCATATCCAGAAGTGATCAGTACTAAGCAAGAGGTACAAATATTTATTTGAAAGCAGGCTGTTTAGAGACCAGTTTATGTCATCTATGAAATAGGGAGATTAAGTAAGGGCGAGACATATACTTGTGGAAATTAACTGACAAAATAGCATTCCAGAATAGTTGAAAACTGCCTTAAACAAATAAACATCAAAGAGTCAAATGTTGATTGCAAATATGATTGTACATAAAGGAATAGAGTGGGAAATTCATGAATACAGTGGGGAGTTCATGATGCTTGTGAAGGAGAAAGCCTTTCTAGCAAAGTTGTGGTGTGTGTGCTATCCTAATGGATACATGATTGAAGCTGATTGGCAAAATAAATTGATCTGTGGCTCAGTTCCCAGGGTTTTTAAAAGTCAAGATTATAGCTTAAGGCTGTTATTTAAATTAATTTTCCAGATACGTCTGTACAGATACTATGGTGAGAGATTTGTATAGTAAAGAACTGATGGATACTGGTATATGTGATTTTTTTTTTTTTTTTTTTTTTTTTTTTTACTTTCCCTGACTAGTAAGATGAGTATGTTCTTAGTACATGCTAAAAACAAGTCAGTAAATGTGTTTTGCTAATACATGTTTTGTTCAGCAGCTCTGTTACTGCTGCAAGTCTTTAATAAATTCTTCTGGATGAGTATCTATTGGCTAGTGAGAGAATATAAAAGCATTTTGTATTGCTTAATTTTATATAATTCGAGATTTTTAGCTCTTCATTTTTCTTCATGCAATGCAGGAGCTCAGAAGCTTTTTCTTTTTTTTTTTTTTTAAGTCTTAAGCGCAGTTGACAAAAAGACAAATATGGTAATTTTCAAGTCTATACTCAATTCTTAAGTGACTTTTTTCTATTTCTCACCTGTGGGTTTTATTTCTACAGTTTCTCACAACAGTCTCCCATTACTTAGAAAAAAATATCTTTCTTTGATACACTAGCAGTACAAGCTAAGATTTTTTTTTGGTGTTTTCATGCCAGCAAACATTCATTCTAAAATGTCCCTATTTCCTTCTAGACTTAATTCAGTGCATGCTATTGCAGTTATGGAACCTTGCTGGCAAAAAGAATTTAACCTGTATGTCTCTAATGCAGTTGAATCCAATTAAGTACATCTAAGCACTGGTCAGAAATCTGAATTTTTCAAGCCTGCTAGGCAATTTGCAGGGCATAGTTACAGGAGGTTACCAACGGAACAGTAGCAATTTGCTTGGGGGGGGGGGCAACTACCACTTCAAGTATCTGCTTAAGCAGCAGGAGAAATATGTATACATTTTAATGAGTTTATGAATTGCTTCTAAGGAACCTTTAGATGCCCACATAGAAAAGCATCCTGAATGGTTTGTTGAAGTGTACTCTGCTGGGGAATTGCATTCCAATTGAAATGACAAAGTAAAAGCCATAAATTTGAAACCACTGTCAAATTTCTCATATTTAACACTTTAAAGATTTTCTTCAAAAGGACTTTTCTACATAATTATGTTGTTTGTGCCATTTTGTATTGTTCTGAAGGGAAGCTATGCCTGAGTAGATCAATTTCACATTCAAGAAATACGCACATGCAAGTATACAGTGTAGATTTCTTCAGAGCGGGAAGATAATTTTTGTCAGTGTTTTTACATAGCAGCATGAATCCACCTTATAAATTGTAGTGCAGCTGTGGACAAAAAAAGTATGACTACGTGTAACTGTATCAAGCTACTGCATACAGGTCACAGGAATTTCTGTGTGGTTGGAGGCACAACGTAAAATCTGTCCACACCCCAAAGACTGTGAAAGTGAAATGCTCTGATAGTTATCTTAAAGCAGTAGAGACAGTTCACAGACTGAAATGGAATTACTATTATACTTAAGTATATTGAGCATGTCTTGCATCATTCATGCTAACAAGATGAGACAGTCTACCAGACAGATAGTAGTAGTGATGAATGTTAAAATGATTTTCAAAAGAAATAACCGTGTGTTCCATATAAGCAAATTCATATGTATAATAAAAATCATAAACTGTGCTTTACATAAATTGTATCTTTAAGCCTCTGGGTGTTTTTATCTTCAATCACTTTTTCCTCTTACGGGTCCCAGAGCTAGCTGATCCAGGAGCACACCAGCTACACTTATGCTAGGTGCTAAAAATTCTGTAAGAGCGTATTTGTTTTCCTTCTTATGGCTGTCAGTCATTTTTAAAGTGAAAAGTTTGGAAGTCTGAAGAACAGTGTTTCTCTCTAAAGATAGGAAAATCGGAAATGTGTATTTGCCTCTCGTCATACTCATTCTACTCTAGGTCCAGATTAACTGTCTGTCCTGTGTAGTCCTGCTTTGTAGTTTAAAACTGTGAATGTCCTCTAATAATGACAGTACCACAGATGTCTTCATCTGTGTCTCATCTGAGAATCCCATGTGAGTTTTAAGACTGGAGCTTTGCTCTTAATATATCTTTCTCCTTTTGCAATAATTCTCCTTTTTTTACTGTATCCAGCTATAATTGTACCTCCTTCTTTCTCTGTCATATCCTGTCTTGATTCTTACCCTGATAAAGCTTTGGTGTGCAGCTTTCTGCTCTTTGCCCTTTTACCTACCCGGGTAGCTCAACCAGCTCCTTGCTTTTCCAGCCCCTGAAAGGGTTTTGAGGCATCTCCCTGCTCTTGCAATTCTTCTGATAGCTGTTCCTGACAGATGTCCTGCATCCTCTGCTAGCTGTGCACTGTAACCACAATACGTGTATACCTGCGAAGTATTGTGATGAGAGCTGTAGTTAGTTCAGCTGTTGGATGGCTCCTCCTCGAGGTCTGTGTCTCACAGGCCTGCAGCACCGTGCTGCTTTCCTCTGCTGTGTGCAGCTGATGTGCTTCATCTGTGGTCCTCAGGCCACTTGCATCTGGGGTTAGAGAGCGGAGAGGCAGCACCTGGGCACATGCCATTTGGCTGGAGTTTATGATCAGAGGAAGATCATTAGAAGTCACAACATCAGCCCAGTCGCCCTCTTCCTGCCACAGCGGCACCTGTCATCTCACAGTCAGATGGTCTGAGGCCTCCCATGGTGGGAGGCAGTGGTGTTACTTGCAGTATGGTGTACAAGAGTCACTGAAACAGGGCATTGGCAGCTTGGTCAGCGTTCTCTCTCCCTCTTTCTCCACACTAGCTGCTCATGTGGTTATTAATACAGAGGCAGATCTGGATAGAGTCAGCCTCACAGTGGGAGGATGGGGATGAGAAGCACACAGATGTCATTTCCCTGCAGCAGCAGTGCTGTGGCCATCGTATCAGAGCACAGTCTCACTGGAGAGGGCAACATCTTCCCTAATCTCATGTTAGAGGTTGGTGGCTTTACCGAGGAGCAGTGACTGTTTTGTTCTGTGTTCACCTTTCCCCTAAGGGCTGAGTAAAACTAGTGGCTTGGGGCTGATTTAGTGTAATTGTTACAGGAGAATAAAATCTCTCTGCTTGTGTAAGTCCATCAGCACACAGGTTGGTCAGTGTCGATACACATGATAAAATGGGAAGGATGAGGCACGGGGAACCTTAATTTTCTTGTCCAGCAGCAGCTGCTAGTTCCTTCCATTGCGAGAAGTGCATTTACATTCCCCACCTACGTTTGCAAGAAAAGTACCTGGCCATACCGTAATTCCGAGGAGGCTTCAAGAGTCACTCTAATTAACCAGGGGTTTGTGCCGTCTCCATACTGCCCTCTGGAGCTCGCCATTGCCGTGCTATGGAAAACAGGAGAGAGGACTTTGCAAAGGGTCAGGAGGATGTTGGAGTAATTGAACCAGCCAGTGATAACCTGCATATTTGGTGGCATGATGGAAGTCTCAGCTGCCGTGTTAATAAGATCACATGAGGATGAGGTCAAGTGAAAATGGTAGGGTTGTAATTTATAACAGGATTCTTAAAAATTTAACGAGAGCGCAGAGCTCAAGATAATTGCTCTTTCATCCTTTTTATACAAAAATAAGGGGAAATACATGCATGGATTGAGTTATTT